GACAGACAAACGGACAAGCAGACAGGCTGACACACAGAAAGTCAGACAGATTGGCACACACGACAGACAGGCAGGCAGACAGACAGAAAAGATGTATTAGTAATCTATGTATATGTAGTATGTAGGTTGGTGTGTGTGTGGTGTGTGTGTGCGCGTGCTGCGCTGCGTGCGTATCGCACGCATACGCACGCACGCACGCAACGCACGCACGCAGTATTCATGATGTACTACTAAGTACGTGACGCACGCACCCACGCACCCATCATTCCATGCCATTCATCCATCCATCCATCATCGCCATCCATTCCATCCATGCCTACCACCATCCATTCCACCATAGCTCATCCATCCATCCATCCATTCCAACCAATCCAATCCATGCCAGCCCATACCATCTACCATGCCATCCATCCATTCCACAATCCATCCATCCATCCATCCATCCATCCATCCATCCATCCATCCATCCATCCATTCATCACTCTATCCATTCATTCATTTATCCATATAGGATATATATATATATTTATATATATATATAATTATGCCTGTCTCTCTAGCTATCTATTTAACGTACCATTATCTATCGTCCTACATAACCCATGTCTATCCCGTGGCCATCTGCATATAATCCCACCTGCCATCTGCTCATCTACCCGTCTGTTTTTTTAATTCGAAAAATCTCACTTCTCGAACGCTGAAATTGAAATATAAACAGTGATGCTGCTGCGACCAGCCTATAGTGATTGGTCAGAAACATCGGGTATTTACCAACTCCATAGTTGAATTGGCCCGAAAAAACTTCGGGACATGGCATTGTAATCTAGCCCATGACACGTCAGCAACACCTATCCACATTATACTCCCATCCGTTTATATATCAAGCGCGGGGTGAATCGAGAGTCTGGAAGAGGCGAGATCCCTGAGGCCGGAGTGAAAGGCTGCCGAGAATAGTCGCGGCCTCCGCTAGTGATGAACGGCCGACGCCCGCGGTGGAGCGGGGGAAGCACGCGCGCGAAGCGACGGGCCCAGGGAGAAGCCGCCGGCAACGCGGAAGCAACGCCGGAAATACAGCCGACGCGCCGGTAAAGCGGCGGCGCAGGTAACAGCCCAAGGCAACCGGCGCGGCTCGCGCAGTGACGACTGCGATCCGGGACGGCTCGAGCGGTTTAGGTAGGGCGTCGCCGGGGCGGCACAGGCGAGACCGCGGACGTAGTTAGCCGCAGTCGCGGCGGCGTGATCGGTGGCCAGCCGCGCGGAGAGGCCGCTGAGCGGTGAGAGCGAGCTGACGCAGTGGTGGCGCGAAAAGGAGGCGCCCCGCCGAGCGGCCCGGTATAAAAGGCACGCGCGCGCGACTGAACGATAACCGTTAAGAGTAAAAAGTTGAAAGCAGGAGTTGAAGAGAGCAGTGAAAAGCAGTTGGAAAAGGGAGTTGACGATAGGCGTTGATGAGAGAGGGTTTGTGTGGAGTTCTCAGGGAACCCACTGATGGCGATTATCGGAAGTTAGCGACGTTACTTAACGGTCTGAACGAGTAAACTATTGCTGTGGAAGATATATCTGAGAATAACACCAGCGCCGAAACGGAGGAGTACGACTCAGAAAGTGCTTTAAATGCGTCGTTCGATACTAGCCGGTGGTTCATATGTATCTTACCATTCTTCGTTTGTTGTAATAAACATTATCACTCACATTAGCACACTTTGCCTGCCGCCTTCAATTTCTCCCACGCTAACTACACGCAATCTTACCTGGCCGAGGAAAGGACCCATGTAACCGACGCATGCCTCACACATCTCATCAGTCTTACACCGCACGCGGGGAGAGAAATCTTCCGCGTGAAAGGGTACTACAACGCACTGGAATACACCGACGCAGCGAGCACTACCGCAGAGGATCGTTTAGAGGCGGCGATTCACCTTGGCGAAGCTGCGCGCACCATTTCGGGACGCGAAACATCTGGACAGACCGGAAAAGTTCGGGAGGCGAAACTCGGACACACGAAAAAGTTCGGGAGCGAAACATCTGACACCGAAAAGTTCGGCGAGCGAACTGCGCGCAGGGCTCGGCAAAGCAGAGGCCGAGGCCGTTACAATATCAAGCGGGTATCCTATACAACAACATGCTTTAGTTCACTTCGGCAAAGCCACCAAAAACTCTGCGATGAAAAGTAATGTCTCTGTAACAAATAGTAGTCGCAAATTAGCCCTGGCCTGCACAAGGAAAAGTTGTTTCTGTCCAAGGAAAAGCAGTGCTTCTAAATTAAAAGTATTTTGTTATAGAAAACAAACAATATTCATCGAGTATAACAGCGGATTACAATAAATAAAAGGAAGACAAAGTGCTGCGGTTTCTCTTCGTAACACGCACGACGATGACTCAGCGCGGTGTAAACGAAATAGCCGCATCGACTGCCTATAAGCTCTTGGTGGTTACTCAGTGATTCAATCGTGATTTATATTCATGGATTCTGCAGAGCTTTGGAGTTCACTGGTATTATTTCAGCTTCGTATATAATGACGCCACAAACAAATTGGAGGGAAGTAATGCAGCCCAGGGGGTCATTTCCTTTCACTTATCTGAAGCTAGCACACAAATCCTGCTTCGAATCAAAGCAAGAGATTTTTTACAACTCCGAAAAGTTTATTTGATGGGACATTCAATGTATAGTTGGTTTGTCGGTTTGTTATTACTGTGGAAACGTTATCATGATATTCACGTTTATATTTAGTATTTGTATCTACAAATAACTGGTAACAAATATTAGGCACAAAAATTTGCTCATCGAATCTTTTTAAAAATTAGCTCCACACTAGCTGTCACCTGCGCATTTATTTAGCGATAATTTTATTGTTAGTGCAAAATTCACGTTTACTGTGCAACGCTATACTCGCTACATTATTCTTTTATCTACAAAAAATACCTACTTCCCTCCTTCGCCGTCACATTAACCAACCTACTCTGTTTTCAGTGATATTGATTGTAGTATAGAAACGCTCACAGTATACCCAATTCAAGCCGCAACGATGGCACGTCGCCATGAAGTAGTGATCTGCCCGCACATATAAATGCATCAAACGCAACATGGTAAGTTCAGCATTCATGAGGCCCGTTTCTACGCGAGCAGCTCTGAGTCGAATCACACGCGATAACCACAAGTATAGAAGGTTGAAAACTTCGATTAGAAAGTAGTAAGATGCGGTTTTAAAATTTTTCGTCCGAGAGGAAGCATTGCTATGTGCGTGATTTCTGCCTATTTAACAAACCACTCTGGCATCGCTCTCCTATCATTCATGGTCCGCGCGATGAGAGTCGGTCGGGAGTAGATCGGCGATCGGTTACAGAAACCGACGGTTCGATAAATATCAGAAGACGTCGACACTAAGCCGGACCAGCTGGAGCCCGGTGTGACAGCTAACGTCGTTTGGCGACCTCGTGACGTAAGAAGCGTCGCCATTTTGTTAAAAAAAAATTGGGCTCGCTGTGTGTAAATTTCCGGTGGTTCCCGAGCTGCATGAAATTCCCGCATATCCGTTGTAATCTAATAACTTCTAAATAAAGTAACAGGCGTAAGCCTGAGCTGTTATTTCGCATTGCTTGCATGCACCTAGTAACCACTACATCACGGAGTAAGGTATGATTATGCAAATTGTCCAAATAACTGACAGCTAGAGCTTTATCATTTGTTTCGTTCGACATTGGCCGAGGACCGTAATCAACTCTTATATTGAATCACGTATCTATCGTTTGTGACTGTACGGCTTGATTTTCCAACTCCCACTGACTCGCACGCGCACTCTCTCAGGCTGGTCACTGTTGCTATGTATCGGCTGCGTTTTAAGCGTGCGGGTGTTGCTAGAAGAGCTAAAACGCATCACCATTCAATATGCAAATGGCACCCTAGCCATCTGGAAAACCGCTATGTCGACGTGTTTCCCATTGTAGCAGAGAGGTAGAACACACACACAGACACATTCGTCCATAGATCCGCATCCATCACGTCATGATGCGACCGACATCTTGCTCACATGCACAGCTAATGTGATTTTCTATAGATATACCCAGAAATGAACCGCGGTTCCGCCGAACTACAGGCACTACATGGAGACAGGTACAGGAGAGACATTGTTAAAGCTGCAGTTATCACTCTCTTCCTACGTGCATGTGTGGCTCTTTTAAAAATATGAGGAGTCAGGGGCCGCTAATAGATTTTGTTTTTACAGGACATTCGGTCCTGTTTTTCACAGGACCGAAAAACTTTTCGCCAAACCGTTAATATTTATAATATAGTCTGTACGAAGGGTACTGGGTAGTCTGTAGTGTCAATGCCAACTCAATCAGAGTGCACTGAATAACACCAACCAGCTTCAATAACGTAATTATTCTGTTTATAGCTAACAAAATATGGTGACATTATAATGTGATATATATAACGTACATGTTTCACATACTCTATATATCAGCGGGCACAGGACGTCATCCGGACGTCTTTTCGACGTCTTATTTTGGTCCAGACGTCAGTGACCACATTTAGACGTCTTCTAGACGTCTATACTTGGTCAGGTAGAAGACGTCTCTATTAAGGAAAAACCTGACGTCTTACAGACGTCTAAATCTGGTTGTATCACATACAGCACAATACGCGTACGTACGTGTACGTAAAACCCTCGTTACAGATTGTTCCTTATAATAAAATTTATTAAAATGTTTATTAAAATGTAGGGAACAATATATATTTATTAATCCGGATTTGTTACTATATATATGTTATACAAACTAAATTATAAATATAGATATATCATCACCAAATTTAGCAATATCAATTGATCACATAAGTGCTACTGATTATCGCAAATAAATGAAGAAGTATATGCGTCGATTGTAATATATAGCCCGGCTATATTTATTTGCGCTAGTAATTAATTATTGCCAGGAAAAAATGTGTGTAGCGCTATCGTAATGGTTTAATGTGTTTTGACACCACATGATGGCGCTGCGCGGTATCTGTTGCATAGCAACTCTGAGCAAACGGTGCAACATAGGAAGTGACATTTGAATTGGTAACTGGTAAGAGAATGGTGTTTTTATTTAACATGTACACGGTACATACTAATTTACTGTAATACAATAGGACCTATTTCAAGTTGAACTGAATTACGTTAATTACTTACTTATAATATCATCAGATATTAATTCATGCAATTGATGAAATTAATTCTTTCACACACTGACACTGTCTCGGCTAGCTCCAACTCCAAGTTCTGTCCAAGAAACGGTAGGCCTATATTGGGAGTATTGCTAGGATTATACTTATAGTGTATATTGTGTATTATAATTACAGTGTATATATTTAAATAATTTATAGTGTAATTAGAATGTATATTGACGTTAGTCACACAGCCTGGTCGGGTTATGTCTCGGCTAGCGGTAGTACTATAGCTGAGAAGGTCTATGTCCCCCGGGGTACTGCCGGAACGTACCCTGGGTACGGTCCGGTATACCGGAACGTATACCATGGTACTATCTAATATGCCGGACCGTACCTCACCTACTCCACTAACGAGTCTAGGGAGTCGCCTACGCCTATTCCCTAACCCTAACCCTAACCTTAATCCTAACCCTAACCCTAATCCTAACCCTAACCATATCAAATAGTGACCAGGGTACGTTCCGGTATACCGGACCGTACCCAGGGTACGTTCCGGCAGTACCCTGGGGGACATAGACCCTATGAGCAGTACTATAGCCCGCGTTCATTTAATAACTGCCGCAGGCTAATAACGCTCATAGGGTCTATGTCCCCCAGGGTACTGCCGGAACGTACCCTGGGTACGATCCGGTATACCGGAACGTACCTTGGTCACTATTTGATATGGTTAGGGTTAGGATTAGGGTTAGGGTTAGGATTAGGGTTCGGGTTAGGGAGTAGGTCTAGGCGACTTCCTAGACTCGTTAGTGGAGTAGTCGAGGTACGGTTCGGCATATTAGATAGTACCAGGGTACGTTTTGGTATACCGGACCGTACCCAGGGTACGTTCCGGCAGTACCCCGGGGGACATAGACCCTCTCAGCGCTAATAACCCAACTAGATACAATAATGTAACCCAAACCCAGGATAGGGTTACAATGCGAGTCTATGGTTTTCTGTGGAGGGACCCCTGAGTGAATCACTCAGGGCGGTTTGCTGGTGCGTTTTCAGAGACTAGAACTTCCAAACTGGGTTTATTCTAAACACGAACCTTTCTCCGCTATCCTGGAACTTACTATGTACACAATACTCTGTATTAAACTAATATAACCTGGTACAAAAATTCGAAGTGACGAGCGGCGGATATATTGAGCGCCATTTCTGTTGACCTGTGACGTACTTCGGTTTGAAGAGCGGATTCACCGACCAATCGGAGGGTGCTGCATTTGCCGATCGCTATGCGCATTGGTAATGCGTACGTCACAGGTCAACAGAAATGGCGCTCAATATATCCGCCGCTCATCACTTCGAATTTTTGTAACAGGTTATATTAGTTTAATACAGAGTATTGTGATACAGATATATAGTAAGCTCCAGGATAGCGGAGAAAGGTTCATGTTTAGAATAAACCCAGTTTGGAAGTTCTAGTCTCTGAAAACACACCAGCAAACCGCCCTGAGTGATTCACTTAGGGGTTCCTCCACAGAAAACCATACACTCGCATTGTAACCCTATCCTGCGTTTGGGTTACATTATTGTATCTAATAACCTAACATGCGGCAGTTAATGAACGCGGGCTATAGTACTAGCTATGTCTCGGCATGCAATTGATGCATCATTGCATGGTGCATTATTGATTCAATCATAGGCGAGTGAATTTTGTTTTTCTGCGTTAGCTATTAGTATTATGAACCCGGCCACGTTTGGTACTATATATATATATATATATATCGTGTATACATACATATATATTGCGTCAGTATGTGATGATTCCCATGATATAGACCTATAATATACTATTACTGATCATATTTGATAAAAATGTGTAGGACCTGGTTGGTTAATTTTTCAGGTTTGGTTGTGCATCAGTCATTCGAGGATTTGCGACTATATATATATACTGTCTGAAATACGCGTGACAAGGTCAGTAATTCATCATGCATGATATATAAATTATAATATCAATCTTGAGTACATAATAGGAGAAGAGTATGACACCGTTTTAACAGCGTTTTGCATAGTTTTCAACTTGTAAATATTCTATCAATATGTCAATAAATATATTCAAACTTTACCTTGTTTTCGTCTATGATTCTCCCTTAATCATATGACACCACCAATTTACCTAAAAATCGTATGTGTTCTTCAAAAAAGTTCTTTGAATACGACACGGTTTCACACAGTTTTCTGAAACCGGCGCATGTTTTCGGCGATAGTTTGACCAAAGTTGATATGCGGCGGCAGCACCAGGTTGAAACCAAGATACAAGATGGAGACAATAGAACGCTAATCCCATAATAAACTTTCATCGAACACATGCGGCCATTCCTGGAAACTGTTTGAAACCGTGTCGTATTCAAAGAACTTTTTTGAAGAACTTACGATTTTCTTTTATCAACAGCCTCCTCACAAATGGGATAATGTCTCAGTTCAACATGTCAGCACAGCGTGGAGTCAAGAGGGGATTTTCTAGCACTGCCCTCTACTCTGTTGTCACAGGTAAACTAAGTCGATCATGTTTATGAATGAACCTTATTGTCTTCAATTATTCTACTTAATTTCGTTATTTGGTTTTGTGTGGTGTAACTAAGTAAGTGTATATATATATATATGTGTGTGTGTGTGTGTGTGTGCGTGCCTGCGTGTTTGTGTGTGTGTGTGTGTATGTGTGTGTGTGTGTGAATACGAATTTGATATGGTACCAAACTAGCGCGCGTTAGACGCGCGTCTAACGCGCGCTAAAAATTGCAGATTGCACGCTATCCCGCTCCAAATACGCGCTGGCCCGCTCCAAGTTGGCCCCGCTTACGAAGCAGGGCTATTTGGGTGCGCACCAAGTTCTCCCGCTCTAACTCTGTGTCTGTACGCAATCGCTGCCTAACTCGCGCTAAGTTGCGCAATGCGCATGCGCATAGCCTTATTTAGGTTACGTACGCTCGCTGTACCTCGCTGTCTGTGGGGTAATGTGGCGAGCAGGTAACTGAGCGGTGGGAGAACTGGTGACTCATACTTAGCCCGCTTCAAAGTTTTGTGTCTGTACGCTCCTAGTTTCGCGCGAATTAAGATAGCGCGCGTTAGATGCGCGTCTGACGCGCGCTCAAATTCGTAGTCTGTAGGGGTTATATAGGTGGTGTACAACAGGAGAAGGCGTCCATAGGCAGCAGGCCTGAGTAAGCATCGAACAAAAATTAATTAAAAATACGCACAAGCGTTTCGTCTCATATGCCGCATTATACACTTTATTCATGCTAAATAACCACAGGTTCAAGCTCTATACTCCGCTCGAAACTTTTCCCAGCTAAATGATACGCATTTCTACAAAATAGTCGGATCCCGTTTCAAACACAAAAATGGCCGACCGGTCACCATGGATACGCCACTTGACTGAATGGCACAATTATACGACAATACCAAATTTTACTCCTAATGCCTTCTAGACGTCCACGAGGCATCTATCTTGCCTGCATAATGCAAATTAGTGCATTCTAGTTCCGAATATTACAGCAACATAATCAAAAGAAGGCAATTTCTAGAGACAAAATAGTGCAACATTGGTAAACAATTTGCGGAAGGCTACCATTGTATGATACCTATATTTCAGGGAATTTACCGCTGTTAATTTAAAGGATATTACACCAGGCATGGTGTTAATTACTTCAAAATATATTACTTTCTGTAACTACAGCTATAATGCTGCTATTTAAATGCGAATATGTATACTGAGCCTAATCTATTGGTGTAGTACTTTGCAAGCACTAGACTATACTAGTGCCGGGAAAACTGTCCGGCAAAACTGAGAATCGAATCTGCCTATAATTTACCGTCACTTTCCTGCGGACCGACGGTATTGGCGAACGTGGAGAGGAGCCTCTTACGCGCAAACATGAACGGCAGCAGCGGTATTGGAACACTGACATCCGTACGTGCGCACGAACATGCACGTACTCGCGCACGCACGCACGCACGCACGCACGCACTCACGCGAACGCGCATGCACACTCAAACGTGCTGTTTGGTATGTGTACGCGTGCTGATGTGTGCGCCTCACTCTCTGTAGTTTATGTCTATTATATATATATATATAATATATATATATATAACTCAGATTAATAACTTGCATTCATAAAATGCAGAAAGCTCCGTGTTTAAAATTGGTACGTGTTAAATACTCGTGTGTTAGAACAACAACGTGGCAGCCCAGAGCTGCGGTGCTATAGTCAAAAGGTCAATATTGTCGACCGAGATCTAGTGACCACCGGTAACACGCGATGGACGTCATCATCATGATGATTATCTCTCGTCGCCCTACGGGTGTGTTTTCAGGAGGCTGAAAAGATGCCGATGATCAAGGAAGCTTCAAAGAACGCATTTTCAAGCCTAAAGGCTGCCTCAGGCAGGCGAGCCAACAATCTCCGCAGTAAATGTAACTCAGTGGCTACGATGTTTTTAGGCGGAAACACGGACGGCGGTACAATTTAACTCGCGCGGAGTGCCAGGCGATATCGCACCAATAAATATAGCGCGAGAGAACTCGCTCGGAATCAAACGGTGGCTTCACCAGTTCTACATGTTAGTGCGGATGACTCTCGAGGAAGTTAGTGTTTACTATTTTATTACACATCGCAGTTTTTGTGCGAATGATGATTAAAACTCCATAGGTAGAACACTTCAGACTCTGCTTATAAACAAAATGTTTTGTTAATTTCTCTCTCTCTTTCTCTTTCTCTCTCTCTCTCTCTCTCTTTCTCTCTCTCGCTTTGTGTGTGTGTGTGTGTGTGTGTGTGTGTGTGTGTGTGTGTGCGTGTGTGCGTGTGTGCGTGTGTGCGTGTGTGCGTGTGTGCGTGTGTGCGTGTGTGCGTGTGTGCGTGTGTGCGGGTGTGCGTGTGAGTGTGCGTGTGCGTGTGCGTGTGCGTGTGCGTGTGTGTATGTTTGTGTGTGTTTGTGTGTGCGTGTGTGTGCGCGTGTGTGTACGTGTTCGCTTGCATGTGTGTGTTGATATGTGCGTATACGTAATATATAAGACGCATAAGTGTATGTGTATGCGTGTCTGGGTGCTTGCGCGCTTGCATGTGTGGGTACGTGTCTGGGTGTTATTTTTATTTTATTAGAACGTGTAGTTTATATACGCTCAACCAATTTTGTCTATTCGAGCTAAGAGATGGCAGACAAATATGGTTTGCGTAACAGAACTGGGAACGAGAATATACGAACTGTTGATTAACTACGAACTTTTATACGAACTATTCGCGAAATGCTGCATAACACAACATGTCCATAAATGGAAGCGCAAATCGGGCGGCTATTAATCCAGAATAGGAATAAAGGGGTTGTCATAAATTGTATCATTGATTTGCAATCACGCTCCGTGTGTAATTGTTTAGGTCATAAGAAATTCTTGATAACGTGGAAATCTTTCTCTTGTTAGGGGGCCGGGCATGACCAAAAAGCGACTTGGCTTTTCCCCGCATCAACGTAATTTCTGAGGTGAATACAAGATAGATGCTTACACAGCCGCGCGACGCATTTCATGTAACCAGACTAATCGTCACAGAAGCCGCCTTCTCTACCGGCACAGACATCGCTCGTCAGGTTATATAGCAGCTACGTATACTGCCATGTGCTCGTGAATGAGTAATATTAAGAGCGTATTTAAGAATGCATTCTTAATACGCTCTTGGTAAGATGTACCAGATGTACTTGGCTACTCTACAATCATGTATGTATGCGACTGTAGGTCACAACTGGCATGTGCGTGGTTGCATGGATGTAACGGAAACTTGCAGTGCCACGGGATGCTTGTGCTGGCAATCCAACGCGTGGTATAGCTATATATACATTACACTAATAATCAGTTTTTCGTTATAGCTAATCCATGCATGCTTTCGGCGTTTCAACTCAGCTTATTCCAACGTAAAACTGATCAAATCAGCGAAGCATGCACCTATATGCACCCTAAATCTGACGCCGGAATGAAAGAAATTAGCAAATATACGCACGTCACTATATAGCGTAAATGTATGTTCATAATGACAATATCAGTAAATATATCGAATGCATATATGCAAGGCACCGATGGTGTACAATATAGTGGTAACGGACACCTGTTTTTATGATTCCTGACGGTTAGAACCCTATCACGGTTGGATCCCTATCACGGTTGGAACTCGATCACAGATGGAAAGCTGTCACAGATATGTGTACGTTAAAGAAAGAACGGGCCAATACCAGGCTAAAGTATAACGAGGCGTCCGCGTACGTAATCACTTCGCTACCCGCCTACCGAGACGAGGCGTATACACATGGCAGGAGACCATGCGATGGCGCGTTTGGTCCTCCCTTAAAGCGAGGATTTCTCATGTTTTTACCAATTGTTTTCATATTTTTCTGGCCGTTCTGGTACTTACCAGTACTCCTTGCATAGCAACAAATGTATGTAGTAAGGCTAACATTTCATAGAGCACTTGCACATCATTCAATCTACCAATATGTGCATCGATCTACATTTCAAATTAGATTTTTCTACGTATACTAACAAAACTAGCGCGTGATTTTTTCTCTCGCGAGAGCGGAACCCTGTCTCTACATTAGGTTAATTACCTTCGTATAAATTTTGAGGTATACAGTCTATAAATATTTGCGTCACGTAACTAAGTGCACTTGTTTTTTGTGGGAGCGTTTTAGAATTACATTATATCGAATCTGAAGATAGCAGGCGCATGTTTGCTGTTCATTTACCGCTTTAAAGCCTATAACAGCAGAAGAGAACTCGCAAGTTTGTATGCTGAAATAATCAGTAATATGTACACTGACAGCTCTAGATTTTTCAAAATTTATTCATTTTTCGATTGATTTGAGAGTTGATCGTTTTAATCATGTAAAATACTTGACCTTTTCTTTTGTAAATGTTATTGGGATCAAGCACTCGGGCAGCCACAATCGATAGCTCCGTCTCGCGAATCAGCCTCAACACGCCCAGCGGACATTTGCTCATAAAAATCGCGGCAGGAAAGAAAGCAGGAAGCGCGCTCGATGAGAAAGCTCTTGCTGGAAAGAGAATTCCGCAATCAGTAATAATTAGTCCCGGCGCATTTCGTAAAAATAATCTGCGTCGTGAATGTCGTCATATTTAATGGCGTGCTTTTCACGATGGTCAGTCGGAAGCAAACCAAACATTTTCTATCTGTCCCACTGTTTCAATAATTAGGAAACCCCCTATCTTTGGCATTAGGTAAAAAATTGTACCTTCTCCCATCATGCCTTGATGAAGAGGCCTAGAAAATTTCCTCTAGCTTCTCTCTTAGCCTCTTGGTCCAGAGCGGGAGAAGCAAGATTCATTATCCACATATTGACCACGAGTGGGAATAACAATGTTCTCTGGCCGTCTTTATATTCTGCGAATTAGGATAATCTACGTTCTCATTCCATGTTTCGGCCACAAGTAGATAATTCTTCCTTCTTTCCCCGTCTGCCAGCTACGATAATTGGAAGAAGCGACCTGCTCTGCCGCTCTCTCCCGAGAGGGCTTGCCTCTAATGTCGTGACGCAGTCGTGCTGTTATCGATGCATGACCACACCGCCGCTCTCGAGCCCGAGAACTCATGAGCAAAGACGCTCAGCAGCCGAGTGCTATGCATCAGCGTCTGCGAGGTCAATGAAGCATTCACTTGTGAGATTGTTTATAGTTATTCCCAGCGTCCCGGTATACGCATGGGGGCAAAGCGCGTCATGACATTTCAGCAGCTGAAACAAGATGCAGCGAGCTCGCAGTTATTGGATGATTTATTTACAAGCGTAAGTAATTTGCATTCATGCTCCAACCTAGTATAGAGCAATGCTGGTTTAATGCCAACAAGCTATTTATCCAAACTCTAACATACACAGTATGCGAGATGTTTACAGATAATGCCGGTGAACTTTGCGTATCCAAATTGAAAAAATGTATATGCCGCGTTTACGGATAGCAAGGGTGAAGTGGGTAGCCGAACTGAAATATGCACAAAATGTGTTACTTGTCCCTTAAGCCCAACTAGTTAATGTCAAACTGAAAAATACACCTACAATTTTTTTAGTATGATTAGTATTAGAGACCAATCAGATAATGTATCTTTAAAATATACGTACGTACACCTCAGCGACATTTGCTTCATCGCTGTAGATTACTTTATTCGATCACTAATGTTCGTCGCATCTGAACAGACGCGTGCGTTACAAACATGGACACAATTGGCTCAATTTCGTTCGTTATTCGATCTCGTCCCCCCGCTACGTCGATTGCTACTTCTAGTGGATGTATCCTTATAATTATTATTTATGTTTCTATCCAGTCGGTATCTGTCTGCTTTACGTTCCCTGTGATTTCTTTAGAATCGTGGTTCTGTTCTCTCTCTCTCTCTCTCTCTCTCTCTCTGATCTCACATAAAATTTAGCACTGTAATTAAGACTAGGGTGAATAGCAGGTGGCCCTAATCGCTACAGGCTACGCCAACTACGGCCCCACGGGTGGGTGGGGCGCTGGGGCCGCAGGGAGGGGACGGTTGGGAGGCCCGGGCGGGAGGCGGGCGGGCGGCAGGGGGGACGTCGGCGAGAAACCGTTGGAATGGCGGAACTAGCACATTAGTTAAGGCTCGCCACGCTCGAGGTACCTAGTCGACACACTGCGCAGTCCTCGTGGGCGGCCCGAAGGTGCTATGAGCTCAGGTTGAGGTATGAGGGACTACATTAATGACCATAGCTCCTGCTGTGTTTATGGCCGGACGACACGTTCTGGGCGGCAGTGTGTTCACTTTAACTGCTTGCATATACAAACTGGCTCTGCGAGTTGGAGGAACAGCCAGGCAGCACCGTTCAATAGGGCCTTCCCGAGGCACGAACACAGGGAGGGCCAACAAGTTTCGCCTTAATAATTGCATACGGATCCTAGAATTGCGCTTGTAACCGTATTGCCTAAGGTTTATGACACGGCGCTTGCTAGAAGCGGAGGTGGGGTGTGCCGCGGAGAGGGGGGGCGGGAGGCCCGCATTAGCTGAACGGAGTGACACGCCGTCTGTAGAGAGAGCCGTGCTCACACCAGTGCGTCATGGGCTAATGTCTAGAAAATGAGTGACGGTAGCAGAATGCGAGTGTCCGCGCGTAAGGGAAGCCGAGGTAAGCGAGGGCAATACGGCCGGTTAGAGCGATTGAGTGGGGGAGAAGACGGCTGTGAGTAGGAGGATTTTGAACCCATTTCCAGTTCTCGCCATCACCACATCCAAGCTACATTATGAGCTAACAAGGATATCGAAGAATTAAAATTCTTAGAATACCGTTCGCGTGCGCTCGTATATACATCCCTCTATGACGCCTAATAAGGTGGCTCACAACGCGTAGCCTTGCGCAACTGGTTCACCAGACGATTCAATATTGTAGCTG